TCTCTCACAAACAAACACACACACACATACACACACACACACACAAACACATACACACACACGCACACACACACATACATACATACAAACATACAAACACCACAAACGCAACGTAAAAAGCAACAGCAACAACAACGACAATTATGATATTAATAAAAACGACAATAAAAGCAATAACAACAACAACAACAACAACAACATCCGTTTTACTAGGAAATCGGTGAGCATAGAACAGGAACAAAACTACCATTGTACGAGCGATACAGAACATTTCAAAACAGCCCCTGGGAAAGATCTAAATGCAAACATTCAAGCAAACGCTCGTGAATAGAAGGCTATTGGACACCGCCCAAGATTCAGAGACTTTCTCTATACTTACGAAACAACAAGGTGTGTATGTGCAACACTTCATTCTGTATGGACGACGTGTAAAAGCGGAGGAAATGGTTGCTACAGATTTTGGCCACTCTTCAAAACACTGAAGTTTTTGTGAGGGCCAGTTCTTTTTCTTCCTTGAAGTAAAAGGTAAGAGAATATTATAAGTAAGTACGTAAGTAAGCAAGTAAGTAAATAAGTCTATATATTTAACAAAGTAAGTAAGTAATAAGTAAGTACGTAAGTAAGTAAGTAAGTAAGTAAGTAAGTAAGTAAGTAAGTAAGTAAGTACGTAAGTAACTAAGTAGGAAACTAAGTATTTAAGTAATACGTGAGTAAATGAAAAGGTAAGTAGTAGGTAAGTAACTAAGTACGAGGGGGTTCATAAAGTCTTTTGTCTAAATATGAAGGAATAATGTTAGAGCTTTGTAACTTGGCACACCTACTTTCATTTCTCTACATAATCACCATCCAGAGTAACACATTTCTGTCAACTCTCTTTGATCTTCAAAAGTCCTAGACAATAAATGACCCAGAATGGGTCCCTAACCAGTCTTCCACAGCTTCAATGGCGTCCTCAATGTCATGGAAACGATGTCCTTTCAGTGATTTTTTTAAAGATTAGGAAACAGAAAAAGTGTGGCAGGATTTCAAAGCCGCACTGCTCTGCTGTCTGGACTGTTTGTTGTACCCTGCACACAGGGGCGTTGTCATGCAGTAGGAGGATCCCATTACGGAGCTTTATACCGCTTTTTCTCACCAATTCGGACCGCAATCTTATGAGCAAACCCGAATAACGACTCTTTTTTCCATTTTCCAGGTAGACAGGTAGTAGTTACCTTCAAAATCCCAGAAACACGACATCATGACCTTTCCTCTTGACGGTGTTACCTTTGTCTTCTTTGGTGAGGGAGAAGAGTGGGATTTCTACTGCATGGAGGACATTTTTTGTTCTGGGTCAAAATGATAAATCCCTGTTTCATCCGTAGTCACCATGTTTTAAAGAAATTTGTGTCATTGGACTCAATTCGAAGGAGAGTTTTGCAGGACTCAAACCTTTGCTTCTTTTGCTCACTTGTCAAAAGGCGGGGTACCCACCACGAAGACACCTTATGTTAAAGTGGTAAGGGAGAATTGTTTCAATTGACCCTACACTGATTCCTGTTTCACTTGAGAGCTGTTTAACTGTTATACGTCAGTCTTATAAAACTAGTTACTTCACTATGGATACATTCTCTTCAGTTACCTCAAAGAATTTGTGCCCTTCAAGATCATCATCCATCACCGACATGAATCCAGATTTGAATTTTCGTACCCAGTATGTCACAGTATTATAACAAGGACATTTGTCACCATAAACGTGGACCATTTCCTGAAAAAAATTCCGAAGGGGATTTTCCTTGTAAGGGTAAAAACTTGATAATTGATCGATATTTAGCAGGCTCCATGGCACAGCTTCGCCAAAGGAAACCAAACGTTTTCGTGGAAGGTTTCATTGAACACGCTGACTAGCGCCTTATTACAGTCGGATGTTCCCGACAATTTGCATGGTGTTTGCCAAAGAAATTGTATACTTGCTGGCGAAATATCATGAATGTACCATTATTCCTTCATATTCAGACCAACGACTTATTGAACCCTCATCGTAGATAACTAGGTAAGTACGTAAGTATAGATAGATAGATAGATAGATAGATATATACCAAACGAACATACAATTTCACATACATACATATACAGCAATACGTATGCATCACTCAAATAAACTCTCTCCCTCTCTCTCTCACACACACACACACACACACACACACACACACACACACACACACACACACATACACACATACCACAAACGCACAAACGTGAACAAACATGTATTCCCACTATGTAGATCTAGATCTACCTCTCACCGATCAAGTTGGCTCGTTTGCATTTTATTATTCAAAGTATTGGATGTGGCATCCTAGTGAAATGAGACTCTCGTCAGAGTAACGAGTCCGAAGAAACCGACATTTTTCTGCACGTTAGGCAATTTTCTTTCTCAACGTTTTGCTGACGTTTTTGCTTTGTTTGTTTGGTTTTGGCCCCAGTATCTATTAAAATAATTTAAAATCAAATTCCTACGTTGATTTTTACTGGAAAGCAGTTGGTCAAAGGTACATAAATTATGTAAATTTGTGTCAAAGGTACATAAAATATGTAAATTTGTAGTGTCTAAGTTTCTAAGGACTCCTGTGCTTTGGAAGTCACCAAAGGTTTGTGGCCATTGTCTCGGTAAGTTTTCCTCTGACACAAGGCAATACCAGATTTGTTGCCATTGTCTCGGTAAGTTTTCCTCTGACACAAGGCAATACCAGCCTTCTGCGAATGCAAATATTTCGACTTCTGTTGATCACAGATGAGTATTTGTTTCATTAACGGCAAGCCAAATATAACATGCATTAAGATGATACCAATAACTCTATTATCATCATCGTCATCATTATGGTTCTCCACTCATTTCTTTGCTTGGACGCTCTTTAAAAAGTTGCATTATCCTAATCTTTCCCCGTCGTCCATCCGTTTAGGCTCGAGAATTAGATTGTTCTGGGTCTACCCCTGCCTCGTTTGCCTTCAGCTTTGCCAGTGAGAGCCTGATGTTACAGGCCGTTTATGTCTGTTCAAGTGTTTGTCTTTTCGTGGCTGTTTTTATACGATCGCTCAAATGGATTTTCTGCCCTGGCCATGCAGGTGTTAGGGGAAATAAAAAAAAAACCCAACAGACTGGATGGTGAGGCCACCTCAGTTAACAACACAGGTCAAACAGGAAAGAACAGAAGACCGTTCAACCATATGTGCACGGGCACAATCAGTGGAAGGACCCTCGGCGACATTTTGGAGAGCATCGAGGACAAGTCCGGAGTGCAGGGATGTTGCTTCCTGAAACAATGAACAATGAACAATGAGGTTGCTTTTTTTCTCCCAGCAGCCCACGGGGACTTGATCAAGCACTACTTCATTTGACTTCTTTTCCTTCCAAGAAATTCTCTGCAGTTTTGAAAGAAACCACATTTTTGTTGCTTTCATTTCTTTTTCGTTGTCTTTCAGCACTAGCATCCGTAAAGTAGGGTTAACCGTGCGTATCATTTCAGAACTTTCAGCCTAAAACTTTATTTCTTCATGATTCCCCAAAATTCTTCTTCTTCTTCTTCTTCTTCTTCTTCTTCTTCTTCTTCTTCTTCTTCTTTTTACTCTTATGTACACACACTCACTCACATAAACACACGCACACACATACACACACACTCACACACACTAACACACACACACACACTCACACACTCTCACACATACACACTCAGATAAACACACGCGCATACTACACACACACACACACACACACACACACACACACAAACACACACACACAAACACACACACAAACACACACACTTGAACACACGTGACCACACACACACACACACTTGAACACACGTGCGCACACACACACACACACACATACACTCACTGACATAAAAACACACACACAAACACATACACAAACACACACACACACATACACACACACACACGCACGCACACACACACACACGCACTCACACATACACATACACACATTAACACACACACACATACACACACACACTCACATAAACACACGCACACACATACACACACACTCACACACACTCACATATACACGCTCAGATAAACACACGCGCATACTACACACAGACACACACACACACACACACACACACACACACACACACACACACACACACACAAACTTGAACACACATGCGCACACGCACACTAACTCACATAAAAATACACACAAACACATACTCACAAACACACACACTCAACTCACACACACACTCACAAACACACTCACGCAAACACAAACACACCCTCACAAACACACTCACTCACATAAACACACGCACACACACAAGCACATACGCACTCACACACACACACTCATATAAACACACGCACACACACACACACACACAAAAACACACACACATACACACTCAACCACAAACACACACACTCAGACACACTCACACACATTTACACTCACAAATACTCACATAAACACACACACACACTCAAACAAACTCAAACAGACACACACACACACACACACACACACACACACACACACACACACACACACACTCACATAAACATACGCACACACAAACACACATACTCAGATAAACAAATGCACATACACAAACACAAACACACTCACACACACACACACACTCACACACCCTCTCACACACAAACTCAAATAGACACACACACACACACTTACACACACATATTCACATAATAACACAAACACTCACACACATACACTCACATGCACTCAAACACACACACACACACTCACACACAAACACACACTCACACAGACTCACACACACACATAAACACATACACATTCACACACATACACACACTCACACATAAACACACACTCACTCACACACTAAAATAAACACACTGGCACACACACACACACACACTCACACATGCACATAAGCACATGCACATACACATTAACACACACACACACTCACATAAACACACGCATACACGTACACACACACTCACACACACTCACATATACACGCTCAGATAAACACACGCGCATACTACACACACACACACACACACACACACACACACACACACACACACACACACATACACACACACACACACACACATAGTCAAACACACACACACAAACTTGAACACACGTGCGCGCGCACACACTCACTCACATAAAAACACACAAAAACACATACTCACACACACACTCAACCCACACACACACACACACGCTCACTCACATAAACACACACACACACCCACACACATACACACACACGCACAAAAACACACACACACACACACAAACACACTCATGCAAACACAAAAACACCCTCACAAACACACTCACTCGCATAAACACACGAACACACACAAACACATACGCACTCACACACACACACATATAAACACACGCACACACACACACACACACACACACACAAACACACACACATAAACACTCACACACAAACACACACACACTCAGACACACTCACACACGCTCACACTCACAA